CTGTTTTTGCTTACCCGCCATGTCACAGGCAGCAAGTAAGGCGACTCGAATGATAACACCACTCGGCTGCCAATGGGGTTTGACAAAATTTTCGGTTGTAGGAACCATGGTTGCACGCGCGTCGGGGTATTGCCAAGAAACCAAGACCTGCACAAGAAGACGGTTAGAGTCCTCAGCCAAAGCCTTTGGTACAGAAGCCTTACCGTCAGGACAGCGCACCTTCTGAGGAACAAGCCACTACACATTCTACCACCCAACCTGGAGGACAAAGAAACTATTAATTAGGCATTACGCATCGACCAACTTGGTGCGAGGGCTCCGTTAGTGTCGCACGTATCTCTGAAGGTTATGGAGGTGCACAAATCGTCACCACTATATGGCTCAGTATATTCGTGGTGAAATTCCGTATGGTTTTCCCGTGGCGTTTTTGGGTACGAAAATGCGTCCTGGAGAACACTAGTAGCATATAGTGACAACCGTAAAGGGGCGAGTGCACGAATTTTTGGACCAGAAGGTCCGTGGTCCGAACTCCACCTCTGCCTCTCGACTTTCCCTGTCTAGGCTTGGGCCACCTGACAGTATCCCAGTGCGCGTGCTTTCTTCGGCTGGCATGGCAGTTAAGCACTGAAAGGGTGTTACACCTGAAAAGCCTGGAGGTTATCATCATACGGTGAACTTTGCACCATACCAACAAGCCGCAGGTGCTGAGAATGAACATCTTACGCACCTCAGTCATGTCGCTGATTAGCTCGAACCAACGTCAGTCCATTCTCCTATGACGGCCTATCTCCTACCTTACTTGGATTAATCCATTCGTGTCTGGCACTCCGCCTGGTGCATAGTCTCATGTCGAGGGTTTTGGAATTCTTTTCTTTCTCTGCAGCATATCTGAGTCCACTGGTGACTTAATTACGAATTCTTAAAGAACACTTACAATCACTTTCGGCTGCCATTGGTACTCGGAAGTGCCACAAATCTTCCGGATCGTTTTCAAAACGTGCAGTCTCAGAGCATACCTCTTATACTTCACAGAGAATCAATGGAATTTTCGAAGGTCTTACAAGCCTCCGTAGTTGTGTCAGCTTTGACGGAAGTGTGTCTGATGAAGTCGTGCACGAATCTCAGTGGACAGAATCACTTTGTTTAACTTGCGTCACTTATGGCGTCAAGGGTCGCATGTACTATGCCACATTAGGGGTGGTATATTGTGGTTGCGAGGCATGGCCTCAGATGACAGATGATGTGAACCGTTTTCAGGATTTTGACAACTGATACCTGAGGAGTGTTGCTGGTGTCTGTGGGCCACAACTGATTCGTAACGGGGTGGCTGGTTATATGATTGAGGTGGCATGAAATAAAGAACGGTGTCGTTTTCCGTGCTCATGATCAGATCGATCAATTCAATTCCGTTTGTCGGCTATAAACCGTGTACCATATACACATTGGTTGCAACTGCTACAGTTTCGATCAACGGAAAGCGGGAAATTGGAACATACAACCGAGCGTTGGAGGCGAAGACATGTTCAGTTTGTTCAATGGTCATTTAAAATCGACGCTAATTCGTACAAATCGTTGAGTCGCTTTGATGGGTGTAGCGCGAGGTGGTTTGTAAAACTGTGGCGGCACGGCACAAACCGTACACTTTGTGGTGATGTCCTTGACATCTTGGAGGGAAAACGGCAAGTTTTTGGAAAGAACAAAGTGGTGCATTCGAGTAATTCCAGGATGGCACAAGGAATCGTGAATTTCTTTTAATTTATCATTGCCGATCACATTGGCGCATAGGTTACGCGATAAGTTGTCAGCAACCAGATTGTCTTTCCCAGATCTGTAGCTGACATCGTAGCTAAAAGCGGAGAGTTCCATCTTCCACCGCTGTATTTTATCATTTTTTAAAATCTTACTTTTCTGCGACAAACCATACATAAAGGAAACTGACCGCTGGCCAGTGATAAGCTTGAATTGCTCCCCGAAGAGATTATGCTTCCATTCACGGATAGATTCAACGATGGCGTATGCCTCCTTCTCAATAGCAGAGTGATTCTTTTCGCTCGGTGTCAGTGTTTTAGAAAAGAATGGCACCGGTCGGCCGTTCTGAGTCAGAGATGCAGCAATGGCTGTCTGAGGCGTCCGTCTCGACAACCAATGGTGCATTGTAGTCGACTGTCACAACCATAGCGTCCTCTAACTCCTCTAAATTTTCGAAGACGGTTGCACACGCTTAAGGGGAAAGAAGACGGTTGCACACGCTCCGGTAAGGGGAAAGTCTTATTTCTGTCAGGCTCATTGATTTTGTCAGAGAGGTGTGGTATCCATTGCGAATAATAAGCAAACATACCAACAACTCGTTGGGATTTAGCGTCATGTGGATGAGGGAGTTCACGAATAGGTTTCATTCGTTCAGGATCTGGTTTGATAATTCCTTTAGAAACTTCTTAGCCCAGAAGGCGTATTTGTTTGGCTGCTATGATGCTTTTCTTGCAGTTAAGGGTAATTCCATATTTTCTTATTGCTTCAAAGAAAGATTTGAGGTTCTGGTCATGCTCACTTTGGGTAGTCCCACAAATAGTGACGTTGTCGATGTAAGCGTAGGTGCTACTTAGGTTCTCAGACTTGATTATGTAGTCCATAGTACGTTGGAAACATGCTACTCCGTTGGTAACACCGAAAGGAATACGACGGAACTGAAACAGTTCTCCGCACCCTTCAAAATCCGTACTCTTGCTCACTGATTGGAACTTGATGGTAAGCGCTCAATAGGTCTAAGGTGCTAAAGACGGTATGACGGGAAATTTCTTCGATCATTTTATCTCGTCGCGGTAACCGATACGCGTCTAGGTATGTGAACCGATTAATGGTTTGACTCTAGTCCACTACCATGCGTCTTTTGTGGTTTAAATTCTTCGTGACCAGTGCTTGAGACCTCCAGGGAGAATTCGAAGGCTCAATTATATCTCATGCAGTAGTCGGGCTGTTCTTCGTCAGGGTTGTAACGTTGTGATTTCGTAGCGATAGGCTCGCAATCGAGTGAGAGGTTATCAAAAACAGGAGGGGATTCGGCCGTAGCAGCTGAGAGACCGCAGAGAGTGAGTGGACCTTGGTTTCCACCGAATGTGATTTCAGCTTTTTTATGTAGACTAAGGACCTTGCAGCACGTCAGCACATAGATTGGGCAATACCAATAGTTTGATTTTTCTGTAAGTAGTACCTCTGTAATTGATGGATGAGTAACAGTAGCCTCTAGTTGAACACGTCAGAGAGGTAGATACAATGGTAATCACAGAATCATTAGCATATGTCTTCCAGCCATGTTTACGAACTACCAAAGAAGATATATAACTGCTCGAACTTCCTGTGTATGAGGACCTGAGGCGATATCCCGTTCACCTTTATGCTGGTCACCGTGCGGGAAGAGCAGTTCGGGGCTGCAGCAGTCAACAAGGAAGATAAGGCAGATGACATCGTGCAATTCGGGTCATTTTTTTACAGATTTGGATTGACAAGCACGTTGCAAATGGCCTCTTTTGCCACATGGTTTACAAACTGCTTCTTTTGCGGGGCATTTTGACCGTGGATATCTGGAACGACCGCAAAAATAACATATCTGGGAATTGATTGACGAGAGCTAAGGTGTAGAATCAGAGGGGCTTGAGTGTGAAGGGGTAACTGTAGATGTCTGTAAAGGTGCTGCAGCCGCAGAAAATGATTTCGCCTGGTTATGCGAGTATAACTGAGCTTGTTTGTGGACCGATTCTAATAACTTAACCAATTGATGTACTTCATCGAGGTGAGCCAGAAGTCTTTCTCTGATGGTAGTAGACTGAGGTCCGTTGATTAGAACATCGCGTACACTTTCGTTTTGATGGCCAATGGCGAACGCCACCTTGAAATCACAATTTTTGGCCAAGAATTTTAGCCTCTGAACAAACAGATCAGCATCTTGACTGGTGTCTTGTTCGCAAGTTCGTAGAAGATGACGAGCATAAATTATATTCTTAGGACGAACGTACAACTTTTCAAGTGCTGATGGCGGCTCACTTTATCATCATTCCTATGTAGACTACAGCTGTAGGCGTGCCAGTCAAGCACCCAGAGAAGTAACCGATCGTATTCTACGGATCACATCGCTGCCACACGAGCATTGTCGACCGCTGATTCTCTGTGTGGTAAACTTGGGATTTCATTTATGCGGACCTTCCGGTCATTAAATTGGCGCTCTAACCACTTCGGCCATCTCGCCCCGAGCATTGTCGACCGCTGATTCTGTGTGGTAAACTTGGGATTTTCATTTATTGCGTACAGTTTCCCAATAGCCGTGTATGCTCTCCAGAGAGTTATACGTGGCGCAATTGTTGTACGCATATCTTCAGGAGCTTGTGGGGCTACTATGTGAAAGTCCGCCTCCTAACATCTTCCAGCAGTGTTACATTGAGTAGCCAATCGATTCCAAGTGTTCTTTAGGACTCGATGTCAGTTCGACCTCACAGTATCCTCTCTGTCATGCTTCTATCGAGTGACCTCGTTTCTGTGCGCCAACCCTAATCTTCGCTTTTCTCCCCTCCAGTCGAGTCATCCTCATGTCCCTACCCACCAGATTTATCAGGAAGTCAACTGTTGTAACCAACGCTACTCCGCTTTATCACAAGGAACTAAAGTACGTCCCACCGTTGTAGCCACACATTGAAACTCAAAGTCTGGTTATATATGCAGCAGACAAGCTGGTGGTCCTGCTTACTCGTCCTACGCTCGCGACGCGCAAACTCCAAGCTCATTCCGACACGGTTTGTGCACTGCAGTTCCATCCAAGCGATAGTGTAATCGTGAGTCTCTAAGCAATCGTGGATAACCCTTGCAGTTACTTTCGGCTGGTCTTGATAAACGAATCGTTGAGTGGTCGTTACCTGCGGGACAAAAACTTAGAGTAAGTCGTTTCCTGTTCGGTCGTTCTATTTCTTCCCGTTGCTCTTCAGCATTATTGTTTAAAGCTCCCCATACGCTTTCTTGCCGCGCCATTTGTTGTACTGGAGAAAAAAAGCCGACGTGAGTTGTCTTGTACCAAGTTGGTTTGATTTTTTCCCTCGTTCTGAATTCAATTTTCCAGACGTTCTTTGTCAGTATGATGAACAGTGGGAAAACGCTTGTGAAATTTTCAACTCGAAGCATTCAGTCCGTTGTGCGATTGGTGGAAGGGTATCTGGGTCACCTTGTTCATAACATTTTGTTCATAGGACAATCAATTGGCGGCTTACATACAAGAAACCAAACTGTTTCTATACTGGCAAAAGTTTGGGACCAGTGTGTGGTGAGTTTTTCTCCTCGTAATTTGCGCATGTTTGCTCGACTGGCCTTTTTGATTACTGTTTACCGTACCACCGACCCATGTTGTGTCGTTCTTTCTACCTTCCGTGTATGCCTGCACAACTCCCGCTTCAGTCACTCAATCTAGCGTCCAGTTCGCCTTTTCGATTCGTTCTTGAATGGGCCATGTATTGATTGCGTTTGTGGGCTTTATCCATTTTTCCAACCTACTTCCTGCAGTAATATCATATCTAAATGTGTGTTGTCATCCCATCTTCGCAATCTATTAGTTCTCCATATATTTCCTCTTTTCAGTTATCCTCTAACCGCGTCAACGTCAAATCGTTCTCGGAAGTCCTTCACATGTGTCGCAGTCCATCCAACCGAATTTATTGTCGCCACTGCAAACTCCTTCGGCGAGATCTTCGTTTGGTACAACCTCGCCTCTATCACGGCTAACTTGGACCACGAAAATCACCTTGATGTCATGGATGATCTGGGAGACTCTTTGGAAAATGGTGGATTAATGGAAGAAGCAGAGACGTCGTTTGAACGATTGCGGCAAGCTGTCCGGACGGCAGTAGATGCGGGAAAACTGATCGACTACTACCCCGTCCATCCTGCCAATATCAAGCGGAACCTTGTGCACTGGCATTCGACTGAAGTCACAACCCTGGCGTTTACCCCGACTGGTATGTAATTTTGGATGGGATCAGATTGGTTTATACACGCTATTGGATAGAGTACATACTGGCTTGTGTTCTGTTCCCAGCGAAGCTTCAATATAATTTTTTCCTTGCAAGTTAGTCTTCAGGTACAGCTCTGCTCGTTTTCTAGTGTCGGCTTCTGTGAAAACCCTAGTTTTAGACAGCCTCCAGTTACTCGATGTCTTTGTGTCTTGCGAAAATCCATGTTCATTTGGCAAATTTCCAGTGCGAATAGTCGCCATAATTATGGATTAAGTAAGCTTGATCTCCGTGCGTTTAGTTCGCCTTCATCTGCATTATCGTGAGTCTGAATCGTCTAATGATTTTGTATATGTTTGAATGGCACGTTGCTTCGTTTTAATTTTAGGGAGAGGTTGCATTTGAACTTAACATCCTATTTATCCTAACCCAACGAGGCAATTGCAATTGATTGTGATGTCGACTCTTTGGTCCACTTACCGACGATCATTTCCTATAGAGGGATCTGCTCTCCTCAACACGCCAAGGCTATTACTTCATAAGGCGACGGTCACTGACTTGTGTTTCCTTGTAGTTGTGTGCTCTCTGCGTACATGGTGTTGAGTGTACATTTTTGCCATTAAATTTCACACCGGACCCAGTATGGCGGACACTTTGTGCCTGTTGCGCAAGTCTTGACTGTGCTAGCGCTTACCGCGCTTTGGAGATCATTCACAACCGCGCTTTGGATATCATTCACAATTCGTAGTGCGCTACTAATAATAAGCCCACGACCGGTTTCGCCCTTCTTGGGGCTCATCAGGTAGGCGCAATCCCCGAGTTTCCGTCAGCCGTATGTTTCACTTGAACCCAAATTGCACGAAATTGGCGAAATACACTCATCTGCAAGCTAATTTAGTTTGGCGAGAGACTCACCTGGAACCCAGCTGAATCTTTCGTTTGTGATGTTTTCAGCATTCAGCATTGTTTGTCCTTTCCTCGGCCGTTGTTCTTTACACGCGTGTTTCCATACCAAACATTCTTACATACGCTGGGATTCATCTTGTCTGGCTGGAACTGTTGGTGGAATGAGACGCTTCTCTTTTTATCTACTCTTGTGCTTCCACATCCATCACTTGCATTTACTTTTTATGTCTGTGAGCATGTTCTTAAACAACACACTTTCGACGTCTATCTCCATGCTCCCCGAAGGAAGCTCGAGGGCTGAGGTACTACCGGGTTGCCCAAGCCTAGACAGGAGCAGTGGTCAATAAGTTCGTGCCCGATTTGTCTCAAGTTCCTTGGCCCAGCATCCACTACACTCATGGGTTCATTCGCCCTCCGGTGGGTACTGTTTTGTCCGATATTTGTTTCAGTCAAATCCCAGTCGCCCGGATTGAGAGTAGCAAGTGGCTGATCGCATTGCTATTCGACGTATTCCACCCGACGACACAGACGTTCTTGATGTTTTCGATAACAAGTGGCCTCTGATGACGTTTCTAGCATTTCGCTTCCTCTATTTTTTGACCATTCGGCTCTTCCAAGCTTCCCCCAACGCGCGGACACTTAGTTTCACCTGGTGTCAGTTAGGGTTGTGGCTGCTACCATAAGGAATCTGTCGCCGGGCATCTAGCAAAACCACAGTCTTGTTTGGGGGAAACCGGTTAGGTTGCACCATAGGTAGAATTCCCGACATGACCTACTCTTTTTGTATATTTCAAGTGATTGGTACTATCCGATATTGGATCAGCAGACAGGATTTAAAGAATTAGGTTCATGACCTTCTCGACTGCCAAACAGTGTGTACCTACTTTGCACTGACTTGAAAAGCGTAGTGAGAAGCAGCCACGGTCGGGTGCATGATCGCATTTCACGCAGGTATCCTAGAAGATAGGTAGTGATCGACCCTCGACACCGGTAACAGATGGCGGTGTGGCCTATTTGGATTCGGCGCCGGTTCAGTGTTGGGCTACACTTCAAGCGATTTCCACTCTACTGGAAATGGATACCAAGAGGAGAAATCTGTGATCGGGACTTATCTGATGCAGGCGTTGTCCTTTGTCCATGCGTGTTGTGTCTAATCCAAAACGATGATCAAAGTAGGCCTCAAAAACTCAGCCTACCCACCTAAGCGTTCGTGCCACCAGCGACCACAATGATGTCTGAACTTTTGGTCCGTTTTAAAAGAGCATCTAGTGCGTCATAGAAACTGTCTTTGGCAGATTCAGAGCTACAATCCATCGGGGATGCAGTAGATACAGGACATGACGGACGTTCACAGACATTGCCAAACGAACCGCGAAGAAACAACCGTTAACGGGTACCTAGTCGGTTACAGACGCTGCTCGATCGCTCAATACAACACCCAACCCACTGCACCCAGCTATATCCGCCCCTGTGTCACCGGAGGTACGCAGCTGAAACCGGGATTAGAGCGACGGGGCAGTCAGTTCGATAACAATACTTGCGTCCTGTGTCCTTGTTTCTGATCAATCAATGCAGAGGAAATTCAGCGTAAAAGCAAGAGCTATCCGTTGTCATGGTGTGCAAATACTAAAGGTGGCTAAGTGGACAGACAGGCTTTTGGGGTTTGAAAACAGACTTCGAGTTTTCTAAGGTAGGTACTGAAGTCGGACGTACAGAGGCTACAGACGAGTGTGATCCACGTCCTAGTGCTGGGACCTGCGGAGGAGGCTTTTAAATTTGGGTGGGGTAGGTTAGAAGAGGGAAAACGAGCAAGTGTAAGAAGGGAGGCGTCAGCAGTAGCATTTTTTCGCTTACCCGCCCTGTTGTATGTCACGAGTAAGATAACCAGGCTAAATAGTACCGCGCGGCAGCCGATTTGAGATTCATAGTTGTACTCGGACTGGGATACTGTCAGGTCACCCACACCTACACATGAGAGGGATTAGGATCTTCAACCAAAGCCTTTGGCTCACGAGCCTGACCACGGTGGTTCTCGGCTTAGTACCACATTTTTTCGAGCAACAAACCGCCCTGCCTGTTCCAAACCGCAACACGGAGGACTAGAAGACTGCGTTCGTCAAAACTCTATCCACTGAGCAACCTGACATGAGAAACTCTACGGGTGTTAAGGTTAAACTTCCCGCTATAGCT